TCTCGTACACCTTTCATTAATGATCTTAGTTAACTAATTGTTAAATTGAATTAAATAATTTATCCAACAGTTTCGTAAAGGTTTGCTTCAGGGAAGCCACTCCAGCAATGTAGCTGGGCAATCTGCTCCAGACTCCCGCCACCTTTTGTGTAAAGCAGTGCGTCCTGCTTTTGACATCACTCAAAGCACTTCCTCCCATTCCTGTCGAACTCTAACGAACATGTAAAGCCTAGTAGCAATATTCCATGCCTATAACCAAAGAGACTGAGCTCCATCTATTAGCACAAGACATCTCTTTGAGGCCAGGAATTAACCTTGTCACTCTTCTTTTAATGGACTTCAGAGCCCTGCAGGCTTTTTGTAAAATGGTGTGCAGAAATGAATGCAATTCTCCAAAGCAGATGGATTTAAGTGGACTGTGCAATTTCATAAGGACTTCAGTTTTAATTCTACCCCTTCAGCTACAGGTCATAGCAATTAGTTTGCCTTTGTTCCTGCTTCCCCGCTCCGTGTTTGGGAAAACGGCGGATTACCCAGACCTGGAGGAGCTGCTCCTGCCGTGAGGGGAGAGGATAGTGAAAGCACGCAGTACCTGCTCAATCTTTCACTGTGCCCCCCCCGCAGAAGCGTTATGTGAGCAGTGATATGTGGGCCACAAGGGAAAACTTCAGAACAAACCAGCTTAATTTCCCTAAGGCTCCAAACCTGAAGGACAGTATATCTAGTTATCGTCCTTTGAGCCGAAAAACTGCTGTACCCTGGAAAGAGAGCTTTTAACAATGCACATGGAGCACTGCTTCCTGGGATGAGCTTTCTGGAAATATTTTTAACAATGCACATGGAGCATTGCTTCCTGGGATGAGCTTTCTGGAATTATTTTTATTAATGCACTTGGAGCACTGCTTCCTGGGATCTGCTTTCTGGAAGGATTAGCTATAGGATTGGGCTATGGGCTTGCCTGGGACACAAACATCTCTTCAACAATTCAGCTGCTGGCTGACACTCGAGACGGACACTGCCTCTCCGAAGAGCCCCACCCCCCCTCTCCTGGTCTGCAGGCCCAAGCAGACCGCCGTGAGATCGTCTTCGAGGACGGAATTAGCCATGTCCCGCGCGCAGCTGTGCGTTAAAACAACCGTTCTTCACATCTAACACAACCTGCCCTCCGCATGGATGTCTGCGTCTCGACCTGTGGGACCCGCGAGGACTAACTGTCTCATCCTGCTGTGTCCATGGAGTGTGCGGACTTGTGTCATGTCACACACACAGACACACTCTCTCTCTTAACCGACATTTTAGCATGGCAAATCCCAGCTGGCGAGGAGGGATGGATAAGGTAGAGTAATGTTCCTGCTCAGGGTGCTCCAATTACTTTTGAACTCTGGAGATGCAAGCTTTGGGAAAGTAATTGTCAGCCTCCATCATCCCAGATCTCCAGATCAGGATTCACGAACGTAAGAAAGTCCTTCACTGAGAGGAGCTTGATTTTATGGGGGGGAACTTTTTCCAAACTTCCACAACCCTTTGCATAAAGCAATACACTTTCCGTCACATAGGAGAAAATGTAAATACAAGATACCCAGGTTGCAATTTTCACTGGCTACAGACATTTACTGGATTAGTGGAGAGGACACAGAAAAATGTGGAAAAACAAGGCAGGGGCGTACATTATGCATTAGGTCCCCCCCCAGTTCCAGTCCCTAACAGGCCTTCAAAAGACACAAAGCGGTTGTGCTGGCCAAATCACCATCTCTGGCTCAGAAGACAAAATATGTGGTGGAGCACAACACCAAGCACAAAAGAGAGCAGGCACAAACATGGCAGCACTGGAATGGATGCAGGCTCCCGGGCACACTGCAGCAAGTATGCGCGGCGCTCCATGCGTCGTGCCCAGTTTTGCTGCGATCGCCCCCCACCCCCCGAGCCGACGAGATCAGCTACCACAGTGCCCGGTGACAGAACGCGCTGCCCGCCTCTCCTCCAGTGATTTATAGGAGCTCTGCTCCCCGCAGCCTCTCGCGGTCAGCTCGCCCCCCCGGTGCTCACATCAATCCTCATTACCGAGAGCGTGGCACAGCACAGCCCTGATGATTTAGCAGAAAACCTAAACACAATGAGCACACCGAGGGCCGCAAGCCACAGAGGCAGAGAGCAGCTCCTGCCAGCAAGCTGATCAAAACGGCTCTCTACTCCAACGACAAGGCAGAGGAGCACCGGCTCACACCGGCCGCGGTCAGAGGCCGAGGAGACGGGCCCTCTTCAGCCCTGGATTGCTCTTCTATTGGAATTAGCTCGCAGAAGAGGACCTGTTGTTGGTTTTCGGCCATCTCTTTCTGCAGTGACAGCCTTCTTTTAGAGGCTAAGCACTGTTTACCGATCGGCGCCGGCTGGGGAAGCCCCATTCGACCGGCTCTCCGCTTCAAATGAGGGACAGGCTGGGTGGGTGGGGGGGAAGAGAGCTGGTTTTGGAATATGCTCAGCTCATCAACACCTAGACATCACCAGCTACCCTACCAGTTGGTTTCCTGGTGCTATGAAACACACACAGCTAGTGCAAGCGTTTCCATCTGTGTGCATGTAAGCACCTCCAGCTGAGAAGCTGGCGGCTGATGAACACGCTAACATCCATCTATCTACAGATCAGAGCACCTGGCTCTATTGCCGGATTCTGAGGGATTGGAACCCATTGTGTGAATCAAGGTTATTCACTCGTTCGTCAAGAGCCACACATTCTGAGTGTTGCCTCTTCTCCGCTACGGGCTAGGAGGCTGATCCCCTAAGCATCAGAGCCCCCAAGTGAAAGTCACCCCAATGGGTGGAGGTCACGCCCTCTTTTGCAGAGAGCGACGTTTTCTCGGCTGCCCGTTGGCAGAATCCTTGGAAACACGTGGAAATGATCCTACCAGGAGCTGCAATGAGGAGGCCTGAGTTCCCGCCTCTAGCTCTTCTCCTGACAGACCTTAAGCACGTGTTGGAAGAAAAGCACCAGCGCGAGACAAGCGGGCCTTGGAGAGATAACTATTGGTCGTGACCTTTAAAACAGAGTGTCGGCTTTATCGCCTAGAGATTGGAGAGGTCCTCACAGAACGCACGTCTCTCGGTCTGCTATGCGGTAAGGCAGTGGGGGGAAAAGGGCATCGCTTTGTGGGATCTCTTACTCAGGACAGCTTTGCGGTCTCCTGTCTCATCTGACCAGAAAACAGGCTGAGAGCTACTGCGTAGTGTGAGAATTTAGCTCCAGCTTCGCAGCAGGTGCCTCAAGAACACACTAACATCCGTCTGCTGACACAGCTGACTGTCTGTCTCTACTGCTCACTGGATTCCTAGCCTAGTATTCTTTTCTAAAGCAGATTCTCCAATCTTTGAGGGGGAAAAAACACCCCAAAAGCAACACTCAAACTACCGCTTTCAAGGACAGTATTTGCAGCGGGCATTTAGAAAAAAACCAAAACAACTAGTAATGGCACCCAATTTTAAAACTGTCACTTCTTCAAAAGTTGTCCGCTGCTGTACCTGGTGTTTAGGCCTTCTTCAGAACCGACAGGGACAGCAAGCTGGATGACAAGGGAAAACCAAATGGAAATGCTGAGAACAGTCTTTACACTAAAGGTTGTGGGGGTCTGGAACCGATTTAAAATCAATTATGGATTATAGCTGTGCGGTCTCCAGTCTCATCTGACCATAAAACAAGCTGAGAGCTACTGCGTATTTAGCTCCAGCTTCGCAGCAGGTGCCTCAAGAACACACTAACATCCGTCTGCTGACACACCTGACTGTCTGTCTCTACTGCTCGCTGGATTCTTAAGGATGGGAGCCCAGAATGTGGATCAAACTTATTCACCTCTTCATGAAGTGCAACACATACAGAGCGTTCCTCTCTTCCTCACATCACACTGACCAAACCGAGCCCATGCCCACTTCCTCGTAGAACAGGGACGCTAGGATGGCAGGTAACGGCGTCGTCTGCCAAATGGAATGCAGAGGCCAGTCCGCGAACTGACTTCGGGAGCAAGATGGAAGAAAACAGCCCGTAGAATGGACCTGGGGACCCCTGGGTCCAACAGTGGATTGCCAGCTGCAGTGGAGCGGCACCCTCTGTCTCTGTCTGCCTCTAGTTCCTCTAGCTCTATAGACCCTGGCGCTGACAGAAACACATGCGGTGTTCTTAATTCCCCAGAAATCTGACCCACAACCTGCTAGAAGGTGCACAGATCTACAAGCACTCTTTGGTACCCTTCATATATTGGTCATTTTGCTGGAGGTGAAAAACATGCATACCTATATATATATAATAACCTGAGAATATACATCATTGTGCAATGTAGTACAACAAAGTATTTATTATACTTATTAAATTCATGAAGAGATCAATCCACAAATAACCTTGTTTTAGGTACAGAGCACCACCTAGACATCTGCAACTGTTTATCTTAAATTAACTAAAAAAAAACCCACAACAGCTGTATTTTGGGAAGGAGATTGATGACATCATGTTCCGCTAAGCACTGTTATTACAAGAGCAGCAGGAACCATGTTTAGCTCTCAGTCAATAGATAATTCTGGTTTTGGTACGACGAGGATAAGAGGCCCAGCCCGAAAGAGATAATTGCAATGATGTCTGTAATCTGCCTAATCTGCTCCCCAAAATAAACAAGAGTCCTTTTTTAAAAAGCATTACAGTACTTAGAATCGATGTTTCAACAGGTCTATGGCAAGTAAAGATGGCTTAGAAGAACAAGCTGTCCTGGGCGGAAGTGATGTAATGTCACTTCCTGCTGCCTCCCTGGAAAACAATCCCTCACCCTCCTTTCAAACTTTGCAATGTTGCACCAACTTTATGGCCTCGTTTGGAAACGGCAGCGGAGAAGACAGACAGAAAGAGAGCTGGAGCTGAACCAAGCGTCTGCACGCGAAGGAGCGCGGCGGATAACGGAAGAGGAGGTGAAACAGGTTTGTGGAAAGAGGAGGGCGACACAGGTGGTCAAGCCCCGGGCACTCACCATGAAGCGCAGGTCGTCGAAGCCGTTCAGCAGCAGCTTGCTCTCGTACTGCGGCAGCCCCAAGTGCTCCAGCCAGTCGCCCACGGGCTGGTCCAGTGCCCGCGAGCCCCCGGCGCCGCCGCCGCCGCTGCCCCCACCGCCTACGGAGAGAGGGAAACGCTTCAGCAGGGAGAAGCCGTTGAGGCGGTAGCAGCGGCACTCTGAGGACGAGACGTGGCATTGCCACATCATTCTCGGCCAGCTCAGCCGAGCGCAGAAACACCAGGAGGGCAGCGGAGACAGCGTCCAGGCCTGGGGTGGGGGCTCCCACAGCGAGGCGGGGGCCCAGACACTTCACACGAGGGATGGGCTTCTCCGATGGAAGAAGGGATGGGGGTGGGGTCGGGGGGGATGTCTCAGCACACCCCCACAGGCTAGCAACAGCGAGTGAAGAGGGAGACCACCTGAGTCCTGGATCCGTTTCCCTGGTGGGTCGGTAACTCTGCTGGAACAAACCAAACTACCATCTTTTATGGACCTTACTATTCAAGCAGGAGCAGGCCAGATTTAGAATCCACCGTCTTCGTTAACAATTAATGATCAGACGAATCTACTTCCAGCAACTTTTTAAAGTTTTCACGTCAGCTCTGGTGCACAAACGCAGCTCTTGTTACTGGAGCTGTAGGCGTCTTTCCCCTTCACACAGATCAGCGCGGTTTCCGAAGTCCCTTCTCAAGTGTTTGATTTTTCTTCCTCGAGAGGAGGATTTGCGACGATCCAGGCTCGAATGCAGGTGGGGAAGGGGCGGTTTTCAGATTCTCCCTGTGGAGTGATTTGGGTAAGGCTGTTGGGTGGGCTTTCGGCGGCGGCCGAGAGTCGCTGGGAACCGGAGCAAGCTAATTAAGATAACGACGCCGCTCCTCCCCTGCCTCTCTCACTCCGCTGAGTAGCTGCTCAAGCCGAAAGCGGAGGGTGCCTCCTCACCAAAGTGCCGGCCGGATTCTGCTGGACTAAAGCAAGCGCAGAAGGAGCACGTTCCTCAGAATACTAATGACAACAGCGATAACAAGGAGAATAGCGCAGGTCGGAAACAACAAAGAGGCTCCGCACTTCACCTCGCCTTCTGCTAACCACTGAAAGGGTACGGCCGTGCTGAACCCCCCCAAAAACGAAAACAAGAACCACACACTTAAAAGCTTCTGAGCGCCTTGAGGGAAGGGGGTGTCAGAAATCATCAGGTGACTGAACAGGTTTGTTTCTCACATCTAGTGATGAAATCTTTTAGCATTCAGATCCTCGACTGGGTCTCTGGTGATTTTTACCACTAGTCTTCCTCTCTCGGGATAAAAAGAACACACACCATACACCTCAGGAATCCAAACACGTGTTTTGGGCAAAACCCAGCATTTTCTCCAGGACTCCTGCTTCGGTTTCGCTCTAGAATAACAGGTACCGAACTGTTAGCGCTGCGTCGCACAGTCCGTTTGACTTGATTACAGATGGATCCCAAGCGCAGATGCTTTAAAAGCCGAGAGGAAGCCCACACATCCCCACCCGGCTACATCCCAACTCGGATTGACATTTTGTTTCTTCCTATGAAGTGTTAAATATTTCCAAACCAGCAATCCAGCAGCTGTGATCAATAAGATTGAGTTATCTGGAACTCCTGCCGCTTGCGGGTCGCCCCCCCAAAAAATTAAAACCTTATCAGCTGAGACAAATGTGACAAAATGACAGATCTGGAGGCTTGGAAATGATCTGGCTTTTTCTGTTGCTTGGCTTTGGTTAGCTCCGCAGCACACTTCACTGTCCTTGGTGATCTCCTGCCGGCTTTCAGCAGTCCGTCACCGGTCGGTCTTCCCAGCAAAGCCAGAGCCCTGCAGCAGCAATCCGTCGGCTCGTTCTGGCTGGGCAGCGGAGGCACAGGGCTCCCCTAGTGCGCCGACAAGCCTCCTCGGTCACGTATTGTGGCCCCGTCCTTTGTGCTGTTCCATTGACACCCCCCCCACCCCCGCCCCCCGAGACCCAGCCAGCGCGGCCGGACCTGACCGCTCTCCTCTCCTGTCCCTCTGCCCCTGCCGGAACCCTGCGCTTCAGGAGCCCCTCTCCCGCAACGCCAGCGGCTCGGCGTGTTCCCCTCTCAGGGATTCACTGCGTCTCCCCCGGTGCAGGTGGTCTGAGCGAGTTGGCTTTTTTTTTCTTGGTGCAAGGCAGACGCGACCCCAGAGGCACTCTTGTCCGAACTGGGCGATAGTTCTGATCTTTGGCTCTGCGTCCTCACTTTCTCCCTCACTCTCTCTCTGTCAGACGCTGCAGGGTTGCTCCTCATTGTCTGAAGGAGAGAGCTGCTATTCTGTGCTCCAGACCTCAGGTCCCTCCCCCTCTCCTCACTCCCCCTTACTCAATCGAGCTCTCTCTCTCTCTCCCGCTCCCTCTCCCCGGCACTGATTAGAATACAGCCGTGAGTGAAGAAAGGACACCACACACCGAGAGAGGCTTAGAGAGGCAACCAAGACAGCGTGTAATGTCAATAAGCAAGGTGATGGACGGCTCCTGCTCAAGAAGGGGGGTATATGTGACTATTCGGTTCGGGACGTTGACTTTGTACCACAGTGGAGGAGCGTGGAAGATGTCCTTGGTAAGTGTGGGTCATGCAGAGTTTCTCTCCTGCCTTGCAAAAGAAAAAAAAAAAAGTCCATTGCATTCCGTACCACACAAGCTGAACTGTGCTCCAAGGTTCTCTTCCAGTGCAGGAGTGCATGAGCAAACTCATTCCACATACACACGACTGCAAAAGCGGTACAGGAGTAGCTATCTCGCCACTCCAGACTCGAAGCACAGAGGCGATTAGCTTCCTAGCCTAGTTTTCTTTTGTAAAGCAGATTCTCCAATCTATGAGGGTGAAAAAAAACCCCAAAATAAACACTCAAACTACCGCTTTCAAGGACAGTATTTGCAGCGGGCATTTAGAAGAAAACCCAAAACAACTAGTAATGGCACCCAATTTTAAAACTGTCACTTCTCCAAAAGTTGTCCGTTGTACCTGGCGTTTAGGCCTTCTTCAGAACCGACAGGGACAGCAAGCTGGATGACAAGGGAAAACCAAGTGGAAATGCTGAGAACAGTCTTTACACTAAAGGTTGTGGGGGTCTGGAACCGATTTAAAATCAATTCTGGAAAAGGAAAACGGGAGGCACTGGGAGGTTTTGGGCGCCGTGTGCTCACCAGAGACAGCGTGCCGTCTCACAACATTAATGGCTGCCACGGCCCGTCTTCTACACATTCTCTAACGAGGAGTGTGTAATTACTCTCCACTCTAAGGGGACCCCGCCCCACTTCCCTCATGGCCCTACTGCCTAATGAAAACGATTAAGGCAGAAATAAGAATAGTGTGTGTTGGTGGGGGTTGATGAAGATGAGTGTGTCATTTTAACAAAACCCACCGGTGTTTCATTTTACGCTGGCAAGAAAAAAACCCACAAAAGCATCTCTCCTGCGCCATCAGTTTTCCAAGCCTGAAACTGCAGCTGTCACAGTCTATTCTTTGTCTTTATAATGACGAGAACAGCGGCAATCAGAATAAATCTAACAATCACCCAACCCGGCTGCTACAACGCCCTTTTTAAAACGCACTTGGCAAGACGTCACTGCTGAGCACTCTCGGGCTGGAGGCCGCGGGCAGCGAGGACGCACCCCGTTCTGAACGTTAAATTCACCATGGTGAGGGGTTCGGACCCGGGCCGCGCCCGGAGGGGGTGTGGGTTAGCGCCAGAAGAGGAGCTTACGGCCGCTTGACGCTCTGGCTTTGCGGGAGCCGACAGAAATACACGAGCCCTCCAATTATAGCCTTGCAACTGGGGCACCCGTCCCACAGAGGGGCTCGGCTCCTAATTACGGAGCTGGAGAGGAAATGAAACTCGGAAAGTTGGGTCACTTTGTCAGCCCTTAAAACTGGGTCAAGGAGTCCAGCCATCTTTCCAAAAAACAGCGAGAACAGACACCATCTGAGGTTCCTGAACTTTTGCTCCAAGGTAAATTGCACTAATTGTATTCTGGAAGTTAATCCGAAAGTACGGCACTGAGGATATAAATTAAATTCCAAACACTGAGGCACATTTATTTCTCATGCAGATAACTGTAATCCACAAGTGCCGACTGTTCTCCAGAAAAAAAACATTGTTTAACTTCACCCTTTGCATCCCAGCAAATCTGACTTGATACAATTATTTGCAATTCCCCTCATTGACATGAAGCGCATGAGCCACAACTGAAATGAGCTGCGAACTACAAACAGAGGCAACACTCCACAACTGCAGGATCCAATTAATCAAAATCTGTTCTGATGCATATTTTTTAACCTGCCTAGCATTAGGATGATGTTAGTTATCAGCTCGTCTTCAGCCTGTAGGGCCTGAGCAGGATGCAGGATCGTTCACTGCATATCGAGTTAAAGCACAGGCTGAAGGTCACTGCCTGAACAGCCTCTTCCCCTCCCCCTTTCAACAACCTCCTTAACCAAATGATTACAATTCTGCATCTCCAGCCTCTTAGGATTCTGTTCTTGCCCCTACAACTATCTCCCTGCTACTCAGCCCACATAGCTGAGCAGTTAACAACAGCGGGATATTTTTTCGGATTATCTTCATATTGCTTGTCCTGCTTGAGTCCCATATTTCCACGCGTTATCACTACAGCACACTCCCTCACCCGTGGGCTTCAGAAATCTGTGCAATACTAAAGAGCTTCCTCCTTGCCCCTTCCTGTTCCATCTTTCTGGGATAGCTGCTCTGTATGGTCAAGCTTAACACAAACACTTAGAAGAAGCACTACAAAAAAATAAGATAATCGACTCATCTAGGAGCACAGCTGACACCTTGCACTGAAAGTCCTAGCTAGGGTTTTGTTCAAGCAGAGCTATTAAGTCCTTTCTTATAGATAAACCTTAGCAGAAATTTTAAAAAGAGCAAGCAAGTCAATTACGAGTGCAACTGTGTAGCTGTGAGCTCAACTGGAAATAAAATGGACCTCAAGCCCATTGATGTGGGAACTCTGCTGTAAGAGATACCAGGTAACTGTGTCTTCTGGGATCAGCTTCTCGGTCTGTCTGGTCATCTGCTGTTTGGTACAAGAACTGATAAACGGAGAGCAAAGAAGCAGGAGGTCATTCATATTCATTTTGTAGCCGCCAGTATTTTTTTTTTAACTTGGGTGGATCAACTCGGCTGTCCGTTAAGGACCCCTGTGCCAGCCCGGGCAGACTGAGGTGGCGACACACACACCCACTGTCAACGCGCAGCCTGAAGGGGGCATGGTGGGTTCACCCAGCTCACCCAGCTCCGGCTCCCTGTACGTCCCCGACTGGGACACCCCCCCGTGGGCTAACGTCAAACGAGAGAGCTACACGTGAGACGTCACCATCTTGAAAAAAGGCACAACAGCGCCTGCACTTTCTGCGGTGCTTAAAGAAATGGGGTATGGTTGAAGAGGCTTCTCATGAACTTTTACCACAGCACTAAAGAAAGTGTCTTCCCTAGTGGTGCCACTGTGTGGTTCAGCAATACTGCCACACATGACGGAGACGCACTAAAAAGGGTTGTGGCAACGGCACAGAGGATTATCGGATATAGTTTACCATCAAATCGATGAGATTCACACCATCCGCTGTCACAATCAACCCAATCCATCCTCCAGGATCCCAACCATCCCGGCCACAAACTGTTCTCCCCCCTGCGCTCAGGCAAGCGGTACTGCACTGTTAAAGCAAAGACCACTAGACTCAAGAACAGCTTCTACGCTACTGCAGCGCGCATCCTCAACAGCTAACTGCAATGCCTCACTCAACACACATCTGCACTGCACACTTTTTGCATGGTCTTCCATTTTGTTTTTCCCCTCACTACTACATATTTCTTGTCCCACAACATATTTCTTGTTCCCGTTGTTATTATTTATTTGGTTTGCAATGTACTATCTACATTGTGCGGTGTTGCCTGTTGTACCGTGTATGTCCCGAGAGATCATCCCGTTGTACGTGTACATATGGCAATAAACTCCTCCAGTCTCGTCTCAAGGCAAGAGACTGCAGCAGCAACAGCGAGACTACAGGGGCTCCACCTACACTGCAAGCGATTTTAATGGATGAGCCATCTTGCTTTTCCTATTTCTGGGGGGGGAGCGTGGAGATTCACAGGACAGGTCCTGGCTGACTCTGGCTGAAGTAACATAAGGAAAGGAAAAGTGATCTAGCACATGGATACACAGAGGTGGTGGCCCAAGGTTCCATGTGTTGGCCTAACAGCATGGGTCTGACTTAATCCGCCCATGTAGTGACCCCCTACAACTGAGGAAAGAGGTCAGCAAGGAGATCTGGGCCGTGAGTCACAGGAAGGAGAGACGCAGACGAACCTGTGTCCCTCGGTAAACAACATCCTCCTCACATCAGTTTCCAGAAACATCTGTCCGCCTGGCATGTTTAATCCAATAACGGGCGTCTGGCTGGGGTCAGCAGTTCAACACGCACAAGAGCTGGTGCTTCACAGCAGCCAAACTTTCCAACAAAAAAAACAAATTGGCTGGAGGGTCCGGTAACTTGTTTAAAAATAATTTAATATTGGACAGGGACATGCGGGTCAAGCAAAGGATTTTTTTGTTCCCTGTCAGGTGGCAAGCAAGTTAAGAAGAGCAGTGAGGCAAAATTATAGAAGGGGGCTGTATGGAGGCCTGTGTTTATAACCTCAATAAGGAACTGCTTTGTTGTAGTGTATTGGGACAAAAGCTTACAGTGTCTTCAAACTAATAAAGGTTAATATTACAGCTAGGCACCGTCACACTGCTGGATTTTAAGCGTGGCTTCATTAATTAGTCCCCAGTTATGTAATTGACTGTTAACTACTTTATCAACATTTCCATCCATTCATTTCCTATCCACTTTATCCAATTCGGTGTCCCGGGTGATATCCGAGCAAGCAACAGGCACTAAGCAGGATACACTCTGGATGGGACGCCAGTCCATCGCAGGGCAGACTGATTCTGATGGGAGGTAGTGTGGGCGTCTGTGCCAGTTTTACCAGAAGTCAATTCATTAATTAACAGTATGTATGTGGACTGTAGGAGGAAACCAGAGCACCTGGAGGAAACCTCTGTGAACACTCAACACACAGATAACAGACAAATTCTATGCAAAGTGCACTCCAGGTCCAGAACTGAACCCAGTGTACCAGCGAAGCAAAGCAGCACTTATTAATTTATTGACTTGCGTAACCCAGATTCTGCCAGTGACTTTTGTAAAATAAATACTTGCAGAAGGACCAAGGTAGTTGCCCCATAACTCAGAACTTACCCTCCGGGGGCAGACATACCAGATTGTTTTAGAAGGTAAATCATCAAAAACACATTAAGCACAGGCACGCATGTACAACGACTTTGTTTGATCAAACCTTGGTATTTTAAGGTAAACTCTTGCAACTGTGTAATTTTTCCACATATTCTGAACTTGACTGCAAAATTTAAATAAATCTATCGTTCTAGCGCATTCATTCTATAGTAATAAATATCATTTATAAAGTGTCTTTCCAACCTTAAGGACGCTGTACACAGTGCTGAAGAAAACATAAAAATAAAAAAAAAGTGCAGGATAAAGTGTCTGATAGATCAGACAGAGGCCCTAGTAGAAAGGCGAGTTGAGAGATTTCTCAGGTTTGAAGAGTTGACCTGCTTCAGGGCTGCGGGAGTTGCTGGAAGATGCATTTTGAGGCCTTCAAATTGACACGAAACAGTACAAGAGTAACGCCTACGAGCGAGGCATCTTACCTGAGGCCAAGGGCTGCTGCTCCCTGGAGAACTCGATCCCGGCCCCGATCAGGGTCATGATCTTCTCAATCTGAGGAGGAGGAAGGAGGACAGGATGGGGGGGCAGAGCAGAGAGAGAGATCAGACGACGTCCCCCACGCGGGGCAGCACCCTGGCCCCACCTCAGGCTCAACACTCACCCCACAGATCCCTGTCAGACAGTGCCAGTCTCACCTTTCCTAGGAGAAACCCTGAAAAAAGGCTGACTCTGTCCCATCACATCCCAATTTCAGAGCACCTTCTTAATACGCAATTTCAAAACGCATTAGGTGTGCTTGAGCGTTTAGGGCTCCTGGGAGATGAGGCATCTAACCACACGTGTGCAATGTAACAGGATTTTTTCCTGTGTCTGCAGCCCAATGTTCATCTGACTTTAAACTTGACACAGCAGAATGTGTAATAAGTGCTCAGAAGGCTTGGATAAAATCACTCAGACTGCAGCTTCATGGAGGGTCAGACTACAGGTTAAAGGAGCCCAAACCCTTTGAAACCCCTCCTGTCTTTAGGATGTTCAGTCCTGAAGACAGCACAGGGAAAAGAAAAGCAGCTCTCCTTAATGAAGCAGTCACACACCTTCTGCCTTTTTTCCCCCAAATGTAGACACTGCAGTGGAGTTACAATGTATACCCACCCTCAGTGTCCTGAGCTGGCAGCTCACAGCGGGGAAAATCAGGTTGTGCAGACTGGTGGCTGTCTGGACCCACATACAACTCATATCGAGGTCAATAATAGCATACAACTATCATACATTTCTCAAGAGGCACAAATTCTTAAGGCAAAGTTTTTCATTTGTGCTCAAGTTGCTAAGTATAGTATGAGGACCTGTGCCAGGATTAAAGGGGATGAAAACGAGAGGACACCAATTCTCTAGCTGGAATGCAGAGTTTGGCAGCCAGTTTCTTTGGTGTGGGAGATTATTTGCAATTAGTAATGAGGGAATGATGGCATAATTAAATTAATACCCAATAAACACTCAAATACTGTGGCGAAATGGGCCTAAAGATTGTGTAGTTGTCTCCCCCAATCTACAGTTCTGCCCAGACGTGCCACATAGTTTTAAACGGAAACATTTGCCTTTAATCACCATTCTGTAATTCAACTGAATCTTTTCTACCTTTCTTGATTGAACAGCATTTTTAGTGGTTTTCTTGATTTTTTAAAACTTTACAACAAAAGGTAATCACATCTTAAAAACTCTAAACATATAATCGGTGCTCAAACTCTAGGCCCCCCCAGAGTTTGACCCCAGGCCTCTTTGGCTCCTCACCGATGGCAACAACACACAAAAGGGACAGGAAGCCCATGCAAACCCCTCCCACCTGCTTCCTCCCAGCATGCACTGCCTACACAAAGGACAGGTTTTCAGCAAAAAAGGTCCCACGAAATTTCTCTGACAGGACAACCAGGAAGTTCACCTCCACTCCTCCCCAATTTCATTAAAGAAACACTGCGTGTGTCATACTGGCTGTTTGTCATTTAACATCTTCAGATCCCAAACAAGTGGATCTCTGTAGGTTTTAAGTTAGGGGTTTGGGATTGGGAGAGTTCTTTTGCACTTTAATAAGAGCAATACGCTAGCCTGCCAGATTCCGGTGTCCTGAAAGGAAAACTTCGGGATAACCCCTCTCCCCTGAGCCACCAACACAGGAAGCAGCAAGACTACAGTTCCTGCCATGTGGAACAGAACTGGCCCACCCCCAAAGTTTAGCCCCAGCAATGAGCAGAACTCCACTGACTCAGGCCCAGTGCGCCTTTAGGGACAATAAAGCTGATGGCTCCAGAGGAGAATTTGCAGTGCAGGTACAGATTTTGGTTTGTCCCATTTTGCTACAAAAAAGAAAGTCAACTCAGTTCAGGAGTTTCCACCTGGCCTGAGGCAGCAGGGTCTGCGGAATGTGGGAGCTCTTGCCCCAGTTTGCTGTGATGGGGGGCTGTCCCATTACAGGAGACAGGGTCTCAACTCTGCAAACAGGCCCGTACAGCTGGATTCTGGCCACTCTGAGCTGCTGTACAATAGTGGGATAAAACTGTGGAAGTGAGGAACTGTATCTTAATAGCAGGTTGATAACAGGCAGCAATAAAATCAGACTGGGTGGCACTTCTATGGCAAGTCTATGATGGCCCACGCTGGACGTTTGGTTTCAGGAATCACCTTAGGAGAAGGGTCCTCAGCTACGTGAATTCAAAACGAAATGCTGGCTACTCTGTCGTTTAAGTTAGTAAAAGGATGCAGTTGAAATTGATTGAATTTTCCCTTCTCAAAGAGAATTTCCAGGACAAATATCTGTATTCAGAGACACGGCAGTACTTTGAAAACTCTGGATCATCCTTCAAGCTGGAACAGACTTCCAGAAAGACACTAAAGTTTTTACATGCAAAGAAATGCATGGAGGAGCTTTAAGCTTAAATCTCCGAGCTTTAAGATCCTGCATCCTACATGTGGAGCTTTCTGGTTCTCTTTGCATTTGTTTGAGTTCCTCCTGCCTCCATAAGACATGCCAACTAGGATAATTTGGCATTTCTTGAGGGTCCCCGGTATGACAGGGATCCTGTCCAGGGTACAGTCTCACCTGCACCCTAGGATTTAGATTAGGGATAGATTGTGGGGTGTCACGGCCCAAAGTTAAACATTTTTATCCCAGTTGGCCCCTTGCTTTATTCTTATTGAACATTGAAGAACTGCTTCGGTCTTCGAACTTGGACATTAGATTGTTTCTGCGTGACCCCATGTCCACGTGCAAATAACGTCTCCCTTCTTCCAGTCTTGCTTGGAGGCATATTGCTGACAAGAGGGTTTGGATTTTCACCACAATCCCTCATGAGGCATGCACGCATCCGAGTACACTGGAACATGAGCTTGGGGTTTCTACTTTTTCCATCCTCTTGGGAGTCGAACGGAGTCGTCACAGAGTTGCAGGATTGGAGACCAGACTACAAAATGACCAGTGACGTCAATACCCATGTCCCCCTGAACACAGGACAGACATTCCTTTTTCACACTTGGACGGACTTTAAATCTCAAATTCGGTCACAATGGGACTGCAGGTCTGTAGTGGAAGACTCCGAAACTGCTAGGAAAAGCAGGGGCAGAGCTGGGCTGATATCTTCTGCTTGAGAGGGGTCAAGTTCCTAGTGGGACACTACTGAAGCACCTAGCACAAGGATACAGGGGTCCCCCCTTCTATGCCTTGAGGATTTTGTGCTCAAATTGATTTGTGTTGTGAAAAAGGGACTGAGTTGAACAAAAACAGCAGTGGGGAGAACGGCAGAATCCAGCCTTGGGGCTCGGCAGGGGTCTTGGGCCTCTGCGCTGCGAGACACTGGCGAAACCAGCCTGCAGCCGCGCCCATCTGACGCCCCAACTTCCCTCACACCCAGCACCCCCCCTTACCGCACACTGCTACCCGCCCCAACCAAGAACAAAGCAAAATAAACACAAAACCAAAAAAAGAACAGCTCACAGGATACCAAAGCATATTGCTTAAAAGGTGATCTTACGCTGTGAAAGGACTTAGCTCTCCGAGGTATTGCGGTCGGAGGCATCGGTTTCTCTTTCTGCTGGAAGAAATTCAATCGTCATTCCGTTTTTTACAAACCATCGCCACTTTCGCACTGGCAAGGCTGAGCCTGACAGCGTGTGTGGACTCTACATCACTAATACCTTGATGAGGCACCGTGTCCCGGCGTGAACTGAGCGTTAAAACGTAGCATGAGCGTCCAGTTCCACAAAATATTCCTGTGCCTGTGGTGTAAAAAAAAAAAAAATCCACCCTTCTGCCTCGGGCCCTGTATGATTCACAAAACCAAGCAAACTCAGACGGTTGTGTTTGTGTCTGCTCTGTTTTGTGCTTTGGTTTTTGTCAAGGCTGCTCAGACGCACCCACACTGTGTCTGTAGAATTAATCCCATAGCATATCTGCCCCTGAAATTTACAGCATAGCAAGAGTGTTGTGCTACTCTGAAGATGAAAGCAATTGGGAGGGCGATACTCATGACAGGTGTAAGATGCTTCCAAAGTATTTCGGTAGCAGTTTAATGAAGTGATGCCAACATGCACACCATGTGTAATTAGGCACTCCCCTGCTTCCTCTTATCACCTGGCTCAGATACACTGGCTATAGACGGTCTGCTCTATGGCACTTAATGTGCGAATTAAGTGGTGTACAAAGAGTTCAGAGGACACACAGAGAAAAGACCCAAATGTATAGTCATGTTCCCTCTTGGCACAGAAACAGATGGGACTTCTGCTGCATAGCAGCTTCATCCGTTTCAGGTTTCAAAACTCCTGCGACAAACTATCTTGACTGAACAGAAAAGCAGCACCACTGATATAATATTAATTTCACACACCTGTCTCTGTTAATTTACTTAAGCTGATGCAAGAAGCTTCAGACATCTTGCACCTGTTGTCGATATTCACACAACCCGTTTTACGAACCGTGTTGCTCTCCATCTGCGACCAACACTGTTTTTTATAGGCAAGCGTCTGTGTCAGGCCCTGTGTGTGATACATTAGGCCAAGTTTCCCAGATACTGATGTTCTTCTGTTTCTTGGTGTGTTGCACATATCTCCACGTCCAGGCAGCCTGGCGAAAAGAGGCAGGACTCTGCATGAAGTGAAGAGCCCAGCGCTGTGACAGCAGCAGATGTCTGAGCTTAGTAACGGGTCAACCCAAGCCATCTGCTGGGGCCTGACCAACGGAATCCCAGACACACCCCCTCTTCTCACCTCTGCAGACCCACCGCCCCCTTCCATGCCCTTACCACCCCACCCCCCCTCCATTCCAGGGAAGCCAAGAACGCCTACGGAATCTCAACAACGCAAAGGGAAAGGAAGCACGAGAGCTGTCCTGAGAGGTCTGCATGCCGTGTGACCTGACTCACAGAGCGCACCAGAACCTCGGTGATTTCTCTTAAAGAATGATACAGCACCTGTTCTACCCAGCATGCAGCAGAGCATTTTGTTGATCGCTTGACTACACTTGATGGTTCCAAAATGACCACATGGGGTCATCAGCCTTCATCGATTAGACCTAGATGAGTACTTCTCAGAGAGACCAAACAGACAAAAATCCACTGCCAATTGTAACACTTCACAGTTTTAAAGCTTCTCTCAGGTGCTACAGTCTGTTTATTTGTCAGGTTATCTTCAATTTTGCCTCCTTCAATTGAGACCGCAAAACAGATTCTTGCCTCATCATTTAATATTTATGGGCATCCTATTGAAAACCATTGGGGAGACAGCAGACAAGCCATTGATTAGAGCCCACATAAAAAGCCTGCTTGTCTGAGCCAATAACAATGTCTGTGTTCCTCTGGACAGAACAGCAGGAGAGCCCTGGATCATTACAGTGTCTTTAAAGGCCACCAAGGGATGACAAATTACAACATACAGTATCCTAACCAACTGATTGGACTTTCTTCATTTCATACTTTCAACACAGCTGTGTAAAAGGATACTGCCAGTATGTCAAATAGAGATGACCAGCGCAGCCTCTCGACACACCCTCATGTGCTAGAAGGCAGACAGCACAACACACAAACGTCTGGAAACAAGAGGAAGGTCATTGGGCCATTCTAGCCTGTTTGGTAGTTCAAATTTATTTGACCCCTGAGTCTCATCCAGTTGTTTTTTTAAATAAACCAAGGTATCGGCTTCAGCAACACTTCAACACGGCTGTGTGGCACGTTCCACTCCAACATTGAGGTAAAATTGTTTTGAATTTCCAAAAGTGGATTTAAAGCACGTCCAAAATATAGCATTTTGTAGTGATCATGCTGAAAGTACAGATCTCTGTGGAAGATAATAATTGCTCACGCTTATATAGTGCTTTTCTGGACACTCCACTTAAAGCGCTTTACAGGTAATGGGGATCCCCTCCACCACCACCAGTGTGCAGCCCCACCTGGATGATGTGACAGCAGCCATAGTGACCAGTACACTCACCACACATCAGCTATCAGTGGAGAGGAGAACAGAGCGATGAAGCCAGTTCAGAGAAGGGGGTTATTAGGAGGCCATGACTGGTAAAGGCCAATGGGAAATTTGGCCAGGACGCCGGGGTTACACCCCTATTCTTTTCAAGAAACGCCCTGGCATTTTAAATGACCACCGAGAGTCAGGATTTCGGTTTTGGAATTGCAACCCAACTGCCATCCAACAGCAACTCTATCAAACAGCTGGCTCAGGACAGTAAACTGCGTGTCAACTCGTCGTGTTTCAAATATCTGATATAGCTCATTTTGTGTGGAATCAAATGCAGGGTTTCTATAGCTGACAATTTCCGTAACCTGGCAGTTCATTTTGCTGCTGTAGAATATTGCCACTCTCTCGCCTACAGGAGAGCTTCTCCCTGTTGTACCCTACAAGTCCTTTCCTGCTCACCTGCAAGCACAGTTCTGACAGAGCACACTTCCTCGGCCGGATAAGGATGACTGCCACACGGCGATGATGGCTATCACTAAATCGCGAGAGCAGTTGACCGTGGAAAAAAAAAAAAAACAGCGACCAAAGAGGAATTTCCTGTGGCATTACCAGTGCTAGAATTGCTTTTATTTGAGGTTAACTAGCAAGTCTGCCCTTTAGGCTTTGCTGTCATAGGACTGCTCCTCAAGCCCAAGTCCTTTTGATTGTACTTAATTGGAATAAGATAATGGCTGCGATTGCTTTCAAGAGAAAAGGCAGTGATGAATTTCCAACACAGACAAGGAGGGCTCCACAGATCTAACCAGAAGTGGTTAGATAATAGGTTTAGCAAGACCCTTTCATGTCCAAGCCTTAACCTCTGTGAGAACGACTGCACTTAAAGCCACAAACCATGTGACTAGAAGAGCAGCCATAAGATGATTCCATACTCTCTCCCTGCCAGTTAGAAATGGGCTGCTCATTATACACCAGGCAGACACAGTTACTTTTCACAACACATTACAATCATCTCCTGAGCATGTCTGTTGCCTAATGTTGTAGCTTGGTCTTTGTCAGCTCTCAGAAACTAAGGAAGGCTGAGTTTGGCCAGTACTGGGAAGCAAGGCCTCTGATGGCAACCAGGTTGTTGCTATAAGCAGTTTTGGTTGACCAGTAGGTGGGGCTCTCTCCTCTGGATCTGGATATCCAAAGCAATGCCCCAGGATGACGACCAGGTCAGGTCAAGTGTAGAAGGTAGTTAAACCTGGTTCCTGACTACCTTATCATTACAAATCCCACGGCACTGTTCATTAGAGTACAAGGGCTCACAAAGGTGACATGTGCAAGATAAAATAATGGCAACTGCTTTCAGATTTATAAATATCACAAATTTAAGTCAATAAGATTGTATACGTTAGGACAGAAAATTGAGAATGAACAGTAACGTCACAGAAGTCAACACAAACATCTAGCCACCTGCTTTTTATGGATTTCCTTACACTACAGCTCTGAGACAGCCAATTCGGCTTCACTTCCTACTCTGCTTGAATAAATCTTAAACGTTATAAGTTACCGAAGACACAAGGAGAAAAGCGTGGGCCTAAGAAGGCCTGATCCAAGCTCTTGCTGAGTTTCCAGCAAGAAACAGTCTTGGCCTGTTCTTGGCTGGGCTGCAGTACCGCAGACAGAGATGACCCAGCGCGAGTGTGGGTAGGTTCAGAGGCAGGTGCTAATCGGAGACACAGCCCTATGAGTGTCCAACATGCAGACCACTGGCCTGTCTAAGGCCTTCCAAAGGGTCATCCAGCACAAATCACATGATCGCTCCACAGCAGGGTGAAATCACTGGCAGGGAATGCACTCACATGGGCACACTTTTCTATAATGAGCCAACGTGAGGATCCTGAAGCGTACACCGAACCAGCCGGATTCTGGAATTCCCCTTCCTGCCCTCGGTGAAACTGAGGTAATATCCTGGGGCACAGGTTTTCCTGATCAACGGGAGAAAACTCCCTGCTGGAACAGCTACAAAAGTCACAGCCCCGGCTCTTCTGGGAAAAAGGGAGAAGAGAGTTCGGTTAGTTCTCAGATGACTCGGATGGTCATCCACGGGATTAATATTAGGATTGCAAAACTAGTTGAGCTCCATGTATATTTCAGTGGATTCATCGTAATGTGACGGCGCTCCGCGTTTTCTTTTGATCCCAAACAGCTTTACATATAGGAGAGGACCCACTACACCCACGCAGCTGGGTGACACACAGCAGTCCCTCTACTCAGCACTGGTGGAGAAGTGGAGCTGAAATAAGGGGGAACTTCAGGGAGGCCTTTTTTAAGCAGGACACTGGGGTTAGACCCCTACTTTTATGAACAGAAGAGATTAAATGACCAAGTGTTCTGGTCCTGGACAGCCCCAGGCCAGCACATTTACCAGGTTACCATGACACAGCCCAATTCAAAAGACTTCAGGAAATTTATGTGATAAACAGTTGCACATGATTTGTTAAATTAAGCCATTTACACAACACAAGGAACACAGATGTTCGCCTCATAAGGACAAGAGTTTCTCCTCTTAAACACAATGTCCCCCATCACTATCATGGGTTATCAGTCAGGAACTCTTGGTTCAGACCCAAGTGCACCACCTACAGGTTCACCAAAACAACATACAAGTACAACCTGGTTTTCCTTAGAGGTCTTCATCCCAATTGGCCCAGCTTTAGCCTGAGAACTAATGAGATTGGGCTAAAAGATGGCAACACTGATCTCATTAAAGCATATGTTTTGTGAATGATGGCAGCACAGTGGTTAGCCCTGTAGCCTCTCAGCACTGGGGCCCTGGGTTCAATTCTAGACCTGGGGCGCTATCTCTGTGGAGTTTGTATGTTCTCCCTGCGTTCATATGGGTTTTCTCCTGGTGCTCTGGTTTCCTCCCTCACTCCAAGGACATACTGGTAGGTTAATTGGCTCCTGGAAAAGGTGGCCCTGCTGTGAGTGTATCTATGTGTGGCCTGTGGTGTATCCCACCTCGCACCTGTGGCTTGCCAGGATAGGCTCGGTCTCCCCTGCGACCCTGAATTAGATAAAGCAGATAGATGGATGACTGTAGAAGGATGGGTAAACAGATTAGCCAGAGAGAGAGACGCATGCAGGTCACAGCACAAAGGAAATCAAGAGCCGCAAGAAAAGCATTCTGCCGACGCGCTCATAAAACAATGGGAAGGACAAAGTTCACAGGGTCACATGGGTCAACAGCTGCGACGCAGGGCCTGCGAACGCTGTGCGACAAGCGACAAGGCAGATTCCAGAGCAGATGGCCGCATGACACCGAAGGACAAAGGGCAACCAGACAAAAGTGCACGCCAGGCTGCCAGTCTGCAGTCGCCAGACACCCCGGCACTCGGTGAACTCCTGGAAGCTTGGAAGAGGAAAACAAAGTCCTGCGGGGGAAATGAAGCCCCGTTGACACAGCGAGTGACACTCGTGTTAGTGACGCGCAGGCGACTGGTGCCCGATTGGTCCTTTTTAAAAGCTCTTTATGTTACAAGCGCTGACGATGACAAGCAGAAGGTAGTCTGAAGACCCTTTCAAATGCCAGAAAGATGGTCAGTCCCCAGGTAGTTCTTCACCACATCACAACTTGAATTTGCCATTTGGGGTAACCACCTTATATCTAGCAGCTAGGGCCCCTCCGTAACAAAAAAAGAAGCTGAAATGTTACTACCCGTCTTACAGGATTCCTTGGAGAACCAAAATAAAATGTGTGTGGAACACGAAAATCTCCCCAACAGAGTTGCAGCAGTGCACGGCTGGGATGGCGGTGCTGAATCACTCAGCAGCCAGAGCGCGTCATCTCTGCTCTTTCTCACAGGGCGGAAAAGTCACAGGCCTGCCCACTCCACGCTCCCTCTCTGAAAAAAAAAGTCTAAACTGGCTCGCTATTTCAGCGCTGATCAATCAGAGCCGCCCAGGAAAGCGGCTTACGAGGAGAGGGGAAGCTCTACAAAATTCGTGAAAGGCTGGAGAGGAGACCAGAGCACCAAGAGCCTTACCCCCCCTCCTCCCCAACTCATCCTGTTCGCTTTCCCCGGAGCCTTCTTTTGTCCAGTGTCCATTCACCGCCGGAACAAAGCCCAGTTACCGCTCGTCACGTCTGGCCGGAGAGAGGACCGCCGAGAGGCCACATTAGCAAGTCATGAGGAGGCATTGTACTGCGAAGGAGACAAGAGTTTCTTGCCAGCTCTATCCTGGTGCCTCTAATTCGGTCTCCCGGGGAGCAGCCAAGGGGATTGTGCCTGCATGGGAATGTTCACCTTGCCATGTGGGAGGGCAACATCAGATCTCCGCAAAGAAAGCGATCCCTGAATGTGGGGATGTTCCCGCAATGTCCACCCATTTTGGAAGTGCTTAACCCAGTTCGGGGGGCGCGGGGGAACCAGAGCCTATCCCAGCAAGCAACAGGCGCAAGGCGGGGTACAGCCTGGACGGGACCCCAGGCGATCAGAGGGCAGACACAGCCACAGACATGAACACACACCAACACCAGGGCCAGTTATCCCAGAAGACAATTAACCTACCAGCATGTCTCTGGACTGTTGGAGAAAACTCACTCAGAGGTGGCTCTGTGGCTAATGATCTGCGTCTGTGGCTGGAAGGTTGCCGGTTCAAATCCCACAGCCGGCAGAGGAATCCTACTCCTTTGGGCCACTGAGCTAGGCCCTTAACCCCAACTGCTCCAGGGGTGCCCTATAAATGACTGACCCTGCGCTCTGACCCCCAGCTTCTCTCCCTGTCTGTGTGTCTCATGGAGAGCAAGCTGGGGTATGCAAAAAGACAAATTCCTAATGCAAGAAATTATAAAGGGTTAATAATGTGATGTTATTAAAAACAAATTCCACACAGTTAGCACCCCAGTCCGGAATTGAACCCAGGGCCCGGGATCAGGGCCTTGGACCCGGAATTAAATTATCTATTAGAAATGAAAGATAATCCTCTTTGTTTGGGTCAGCTGTCACCCCAGGTGGAAGTGAGTGAATGGGTGGCAGCAGGGTGCCCCCCGCTGTTGATGAACTGGGAACGGGACTGCAGTGCGACAGGGCGGGAAACTAGGCTGCAACAGCTCAGTGGAGACGAGCGAAATATCCTGGCTCAAGACTGGGCAATCACACTCCCACTGCTGAACAGGTGAATCCTGTGCGTATTAACGCTGCTGCAGGCTTTTGTACAGATAGTACTGAAGCAGAAACCCAGACGCATGAGTCGGTTCAGAATCAACTGAACTCCAGTCAAAACGGAGTAACAACCCCGAAACATCCAGCATTAATCTGTAGGCAGCTGCCAATCATTGGGCTTCAGGCTGCTGCAGGTGACCAGGAAGTGGTGCTCTTTCCCTAGATTTCCCACGAATTTCCCAAACATCCTAGTATGTGCTGTAGGAGGAGACATGCACCAGAGAGACCAGATCCCAGGATACTGTTTGCAAAATTGATGAGTGGCTGGTGACACTCAGGGTTTGCACAATCTGGCCTCCCTAAAGCTGCCTTTCAATTCGCCGGGTGAAGCAATTCTTTTTTTCTCTGCATGATCTGATGTGTAGTGGGGCTGCTGACACAACAGGGCTCAATACAGATGAATGGGACCTCTTATACGCAAAGCACTTCAAGATTCATTGGGATGCAAAACACGATATTAATGCAAATACAAGGAAGTAGACTACTGCCAGCTGTGCAACCTGACCTATTCCAAGCAGGTAGAAACATCCTGACCACTCTGCACTCTGCACTGTTGCTGAATGCACTGAGACTGTCGCCACAGCCACATCATTCTTCCCCTTCATTCCTCTCTTGCAGCTTTCCTTCAGTCCTTTCAGAAACGTTAACTCACAGCAATCGCAAAAGGACAGGGAGTCCAACCAGGCACATGCTACAGGACGCTAAATAAGCCTGAGAGCCATCTGATACAATAAGACATGTGTGGGTGGATTAGGACATTCCCTTAGCATGCATTTGAACCCCAGAGCCGATCTGTCTTTCCTCAAGGCCTTTCAACTACGAGAGGAGCCTAATGTTCACTACAGGGCATTGATAAGTCATATTGATTTAATATTCCAAGGTCACAAATGGAGACACCACCCTGCATTATAGAAAATAACGGTTTCATGATTCCAGAAACTTCTCCTTCTTCCATTTAGTTTAACATGTTCTCCCAACCTCCTTCCAACGGTGTTATTTATTGACAAAGGAAAGGGCTCTTGCAGCAGCCCGAGGTAAGAGGAGAGTACTCAGGGCTGACCTTTAGAGCCCAGGTTATCAACCAGAAGCACTGACTTGCTTCTATTCTTAGACTGCGCCATGTTCTCATGTCTTCCTTCACCGAACCACTACCGGAAACCGAATAAGATTTGCTCCAAAACTCAAAATCCTTTACAGCCGGTTTTGCTTCCTGAACCGTCTCAGCATGGTAATTTGTTTCCCCCAGGAGGAATTTAATTCCTCCATCTTGACTCCAGCAGCCTGCTGATGTGAGGCACGTTAGGAAGGGCAACACTTGATGGTCGAAGGATCTCATTCTGTTCCTCTTTCTTATTGATTTATACATTTCATTCTTTCTGATTAATTGAAAGGTATCGGGCTTTGAGCAACCCTAGTGCTCAAATATCCCAGCTAACCTTTGTCACCCTGTGCAAGTTAATCTGGTAATGTCTTCCATCATTCACCTGCTTTCTGTTATGGAAGAATAAGCATGTCGCAGACTAAGAAAAAGCTCCGGCTCATTATGGCGCTGACTACAGTTGCAACAGACAGAAGGATCAGAAGGGGACTGCAGGAGATCAGAAGCACTGCTCCTTAAGTGAAGGGCTTCGACCGGCGACTGCTGTGACGGATTTATCAACACTGGAGGAACACCGAAGCATGACAGTCTGATTGTGAGTCTCTCCCGATCTCGCTGGCTGTTATTTCCCACGGGGCTGAAAGAAAACTGCGTATCAGAGGCCCACAGAATGTGTGCACGTGCTTAGCAGCTCACCGGCTCTTCCAGCAATCCTTTTCAC